AAACATTGACTAACTGGATCGAGTGTGAACTAGCGATAATAGAGGTATTCTATAGTTAGCCATGTCAAACTTATTAAAATTTAAAAAAAAGACATGCAGTGAGTCAGTAATTATAGCTGTTCCAGTTGTTAATATAATTTTTTTTATACAAAACGGATTCTATTCAAATGACAATGATTAAAGGAGCTTACGCATGGATTCTAGACAAAGTTCTGTGTTCCATTGGCATTGATTCAATGAGACCTGGAATACATTTTGCATGATATATTCAGTTGCAGCTTGAATTTTTATTTAATGGGTATATAGTGATAATTGTAGCCAATGTCATTTAGTATCCAGTCATGATCGAGTCACACTGCAATAATATATTATTATACATCTGAATAATCTGATCATAAGTGGACCAATTGATATATAACAAGAGTAGATAATAACACATAATGTGGTATTATCTACTCTTGATATATAATAATATTATTGCAGTATGACTCATTAAGTATGAGTGAATACCCTGAAACCCGATATCTTGCATTTTTATAAACCAACATTTTTTGCTAATGTCAAGACTCATGCAAAAGAAGATAACTAGTCACGATGACCGTCCTGATTCATGCAAAGTATTAAGTTTACAGGTTGAAATAAGGTGTGGAGAGGGAGGCGGAGGAGCCATTAAAATATTAAGTCATCCACTAGCTATTTTGCGCAGTTCGCTGTTTTTGGCCCCCCTTGTTAAAAAATCCTGGCTACGCCACTGTTTTTGTGTGTTTTCTGACCATATTATTATTATGATTGAAAATAGGAGATTTGGGGATAATTTTTGGGACAACCAGAAATTGTTGCGGACAACCTGATTTGATGCCTGGGTTGCATGTCCGCAGGACAACCACATTTTTTTTCTTATTTCGAGCACTGTGATTTACTAAAGTTGAATGAAGCGGGGTTTTTGAAAAACAATCTTTTAAGAAGTGAATTACTGAATATAACGATTGAAGTGAATGTATACACATATCAGTAGCAAGGTAAAGCCATGTAGAGTAAGTAAGTAAAAACTTTATTTAACGACGGTAATAATGTAGAAGGGTAGGTTTTTTTTCGCGGCAATAGCGGCGTACGGGCCGCATTAGCAGCGCATGCATTTTGCATGCAATCTCACGAAATTTTCAATGCACCCCGTTCTGTCCCAATAGGCAATAACCCTCACCAAAATATAAAAAAGGTTACCTATATCATATACCTGGTATGGGACAGAATTATTCGGTCTAATTAGATAGTAGCAGGGGCGGATCCAGGATTTTTGAAAAGGATCGAGGTGTTCAGGAAAAAATAAAGGGCACTTTTTCCTGCTTACTTTTTCTGGTGTTTTAAAAAGCTGCCGAAGGCCACTTAGGGGGGGTTTGGGGGACCTCACCCAAGATTTTTTTTTTTAATTGGTGCATTCTGAGAGCATCTGAGCAGTAATTTTGATGTCTAGAATGCAAAAATTTCAGTATCAGATCCGGTCCCCCGGACGCCTGCGGACCCCTCTGCCCATCTCTGTTTTTATAACGAATTTACATATATATATAAATCTTTATCAGAAAAACTAGCCCAGGATAGAGAACATGGGTCCCAATAAAACCAATGTGCCTAACCCTAACCCTAACCCTAATTCTAACCGCTAACCCTAACCCTAATCTAACCTTAACCCTAACCCTAACCATAACCTAACCTATTATATTGATATAATTATTAATTTATATCGATGTAAATGACATTGGTTTATTGGGACGCATGTTTCTATCTTGAACCAAAACGAGCACTAAACAAGATTTTTGGAGACAATATAAAATGTGTGTGTGTGTGTGTGCGCGCGGCACGCGCGCGCAGCGTGCGTGCGTCGGTGTGTATGCTTTTTTCCCTTTTTTTGTGGTAAAATGTGCCGCGGAGCGACAGCGTCATCTAACGTCTCTGCGGTGAGCTCTGGGTGGATGGGTGGGGATTCTAGTAAACCGCGTTAGTCCAAATGTGTTCACATACCAGCGCCGGAGACAGTGAATGCGAAGGGATGGTATCAGGATACCTTTCCAAATGCAATGTTGTTGCGGATCGTTATGAAAGTTGGCTCACGAATGGCGCTGTACGTTTAAGTGTCTCTCAATTATAAGATGGAATAAGCTCCCATCGTATGTAGTAGCAACAACTATTTGGCAGACAGAATGAGTTATAGCACTCTCCTTACCTTACGCAAGCCGTACAGGCCTGCAATAGAGAGTTGCCAACTGTGTAACTAATACCGCAGGCAAAAACTACACAGCAGTCAACCACATGCACTGGCAGTGGCCACTGGCAGTGGCAATACGTTACATGTAATAATACTGACGTACAGAATGCCATAGAATTTGGGATTTAAGAGACATAAACCTCTCTCAACCAAGATTTTAGCTTTTGCAAATTTCACTGTGACATTGGTAGCCTCGACAGTCCAGGCATGTATTAGATCCTACTACACACTCGCAGTTTCAAATCTTTCTCAACAGACATAAACACAATCCATGTTTAAACCCTCCTCTTGAGGGTGCAAAAGGTTATCCGACACTTACTCATTGCATTCAGCAGAAGGGAACATTTCATGGTCTTTCAATAAAGCCATAAAATCTAGCTCACGCTGAAAAACAAAAAAGTTTTCAATCGCTCCTCAGACCGAATTGTCCTCAGAAATAATGTCTAAAAATCTGCCTGTGCCCATTGACCTTTTGACCTGTGACGCTCGCAATTTCGGCTACAGTCGACTTGGCTTTTCCTACCATGAATGCTATCACTGACTTATCACCGAGCCTCCAGGTCGAGCCGTTTAGATTTGGCCACAATTCTGGCATTCCTCCCTATACCTTAAGTTAATGGAGTGAAGTGTTCCCCCTTCTTTACACCTTCTTGACCTTTGACCTTTGACCCCCATCTTCGACAGTCCAACTCGATTTTGACGATCCCCCGATGTGCGAATATCGTGACCGTGACGTGAGCGGTTAAGATTTGTGCCCAACTGTTGACAGACGGACGGACGCACGACCGGTACGGGTACGGACGGACGGAAGATCCGTGCAGTTCGACAAGCTGCATTGACTTAGCTCTAGTATATAAGCGCGGATCGCTGCCGCGCCGATCCAGCGGCTATAGTACTAGAGGTAACATTGACATATGTTCAGATGAGCTAAAAAGGGGGGGTCTCGGACCCCTCGACCTCCCCTCTGGATCCGGTGTCACGTGTCTGAGTTACCCCAGTCTGAAATTACCCTAGCCACTCGGCGCAATTGCGTGACGCATGCGAATTCGCGTGGATAATGAGACTTGCCGCGGCTACAGTCCTGAGATTGTCTGGCAGTAGGCAGGTAAATTCACGACTGGGGTCACGCGGTCTGAGATTACCCCAGTCTGAATCTACGCGCCCTGCAAATTATATCTCTGTTGCCCATAGGCTGGGGTAAATCAACTGGGTTAATTCAGACGTTGTCCACGGTCTGGAGATTACCCAGTCCTGAAATTACCGCCCTGCAGCAATTATATCCTGGTGTGCCCATAGGGGGCTAAATCAGACTGGGTAATCTCCAGACGCGGTGTTCAACGGTCTGAGATACCCCCGCTAGTCTGAATTACCCCTGCATTATATCGCGTTGTGCCCATAGGTGGTAAATTCAGACTGGGGGTAATCTCAGACCGTGTCACCGGTCTGAGATTACCCCAGTCTGAAATTACCCTGCAAATTATATCCTGTGTGACCATAGGGTTGGGTAAATTCAGACTGGGTAATCTTCAGACCGGTCTGGAATGTTCGCAGCACATTATATCTAACCCGGCTGCCCATAAGGTAGGTTCAGTGGAGGAGGTAGGAGTGAGGGGAGAAGCAAGGATGGAGGAGGAGGAGCGAGAGGAGGAGGATGAGAAGGTGAGACGGAGGAGGAGCGCGGAGAGTGGAGAAGGTGATGAGAGAGAGAGGAAGGGAGAAGCGTGAGAGAGAAGAGGAGGGAGAAAGAAGGGGTGAGTAGGGGGGACATGAGTGGAGAACGGTGTATGGCAGGACGGGAGGAAAGAGGAGGAGGAGGGGATGATGAGGGCGGAGATGGAGGAGAGGGTGGAGGAGGAAGGGAGAGGGGTGATGGAGGAAAAGAGAGGAGGAGGAGGAGAGAGGAGGAGGAGGAGCGAGCGAGAGGGATGGTGATGGAGTAGTGGGGAGGAGGAGGGGACAAAACGGTTTGGGTAGGGGAGAGAGGAGGGGGAGGAAGAGGGTGAGGTCAGGGGAAGAAGAGGAGGGGAGAGAAATGAGGAGTTAGGGGGGACGGAATAGGAGCGCGAGAAGGTGATGGAGATCGAGATGATGGTGATTGGTAGGAGAGTAGGGGGCAAAGAGAGGAGGGAAAGAAGGTGATGGAGTCGGGGGACGATGAGGGAGAAGGTGAGATGGANAGGTACAGTACGTGTACTACGTCATAGGTAAACCGTAATGTATCTTTACTGTGACTACTCCCGCAGCGCTCTAAAAACACCGCGGCGAATCTCACAACAGCATAACCTAACACCTCCATGGCCACTTGTCAGGTAACTCATGTTTTAATCGGTGTAAACGCGGTAAAAGACTGTGCGCTGTCAGGGCTAAATGTACGACGAACGTAAAATGGCAACAAAGCCAAACTAAAAATGGCAGCTTCCTACAAGTCACGCTGCAACAAGCCGGTGTAACATACGGTCGTAGTCACGACTCCTACCGCCATCTATCGGTGAGACAGAACACTCCCCGTCTGGGATTATCAATACCACTATCTATTTCCCGAAGACTTTGAACAAAATAGCAAACACAAAGTTCACGTATGATCAGTTTATCACTGGTTGTCTTTCATCAGGAGAATCAATTCGCTGATTGGTCTCCGAAAGGTCTTTACAACACGATTCCTAACAATGTTCACATCTACCTTGCGAACCTTGTCGTCATCACTTGGCCAAACCTGGACAACGCGTCCCACTGGCCACTCGTTCCGACTTAGATTTGTGTCCTTCACAAGGACCAAGTCACCCAACGCGACGTTGTCTTTCTTATCCTGCCATCTCCTTCTAGGTTGTAGAGTTGGCAGAAACTCCTTACGCCATCTTGACCAAAATACGTCGGCGAGATACTGCACGCGACGCCATTGGCGTCCATGTAGATCATTCTTGGAGAACGTGCCAGGTGGAGGTACCACTGGAACACCAACTTTCTGAGTGAGGAGTACAGCTGGGGTCAAGATCTCTGGAACCGCGGGATCGGTAGACACAGGAACTAAGGGTCGAGCGTTGACTATGGCCGTAACCTCCGCCATGAGAGTTGTTAACACATCGTGCGTCAGCTGAGCAGGACCCAAGTCTTTAAACATCGCGTCGAGAACCCTGCGCGCAACACCGATCATCCGCTCCCAGACGCCACCCATGTGGGATGAATGGGGTGGATGGAAGTCCCAGGTGCATCCTTCGTTGATAAGGAAGTTTTTAACACATGCGCCGTCTTCCTCTCTCATAAGCTGAGATAATTCATTGCAAGCGCCAACGAAGTTCGTTCCGTTGTCTGACTTGAGTCGTTTTGCTGGACCCCGAATGGCGAAGAAACGCCGAAGAGCGTTGATCATGGCAGATGCGCTCATCTCTTCGATGACCTCGATATGTATGGCCCTCACGGCCATACACGTGAAAAGAACAGCCCACCTTTTGCTGTTGACCTGTCCACCTCTAGTGCGACGTGCAATCACAGTCCACGGACCAAACACATCCAACCCAACGTATGTGAATGGAGGGTCGGCCGTAAGTCGTTCTGTAGGCAGGTCCGCCATCTGCTGGGTTTCCTGCTTGCGACGCAATTTACGACATTTCACACAGCTGCTGATGATTCTGTTTATGAGTCGCTTTTCACCAAGTACCCAGAAGCCGGCTGATCTCAGTGCACCATGAGTGAAAAGACGACCTTGGTGTCGAATCTTTTCATGATAGTTCCTGATGAGAAGTGTGGCTACATGGGATTTCCCAGGAACAATCACGGGATTGCGTTCTTCAGCAGGCAAGTCCGAACGCTCGAGGCGCCCCCCAACTCTGAATAGGCCTTCTACATCTATGTATGGATTCAAGGCACGTACAGAGCTGTTGCGCGGAGGTGGCAGATCTTCCTTCAAGAGTGCGATTTCCTGCCCAAATGTCTCTCGTTGTATGCTTTTTATGATCACGGTCATCGCTTGGTCGAGCTCGTCCACCGATGGAGCCGAGTTACATCTATGCCAGCCATGACAAGCTCCGTTTTTGTTGTCAGATTTACGCACTCGAACGATGTGTATGAGGATTCCTACCGCCCGGACAAGTCTATCCCAACGTGAGAATCTTGCGTAACGCCCGGTGGTTAACGATTCTTCTGTCTTCAACACCGAACGGTAGACCGACACTTGCGGCCTCACCTCTGGGTCGTTCGTCGTCGTCTGCTCGACAACTGCAATCCTTGTTATCGTTGCGACGAAATGGTAGACTATCATCTTTCAGGAACTCGGACCTGTAGCCAGGTTGTGCCATCAAGGTCTGCGCCGAAACTGGCGCGTGGCATGGTCTGCCGGTTCAAGTCTGTACGGACATAGCGCCACTGATCTGGCATAGTAGAGATTCGGATTCTCTCGACCCGGTTGCTCACGTAGACGTAAAACCTTTTGGTCTCATTCCTGATATAACCCAATACCACCTTGCTATCGGAATAAAAGCTCACCGAGTTCAGTTCTATATCGATTTCGTCTCTGATGATTTCAAAGATTTCTACTGCCAGCACTGCAGCACAAAGCTCTAGACGCGGTATCGTAGTAGCATGAATTGGTGCAAGCTTCGACTTCCCCATGACGAAACTAACATCTTGACACTGTCCATCACCGTTTGATAGCCTCAAGTAGGCTGCTGCTGCGATTGCCACGTCTGATGCATCAGCAAAGACGTGGAGTTCTTTGTGCACAGCGGCGCACAGTGACATCTTGGAGTAAGGTCGGGAAACGCAAAGACCTGACAAACTCTGTAACGAGTCCCTCCACCGATTCCATTCGATCTGTTTCTCCAGTGATAGGGGTTGTCCATTCAATAGCTGTTTCCTGACGACAACGTATTTCTCAGAAAGTGTTTCCCCCCAATGATCACAGGGGCTGCGAATCCGAGAGGATCATACAAGCCGTTTTATGACAGACAAACAGCCACGTCTGGTGAACGGTTTGGCTTCTGTTGACACCTTGAAAGTGAATGCATCGTTTTGTATGTCCCAGCAAACACCTAGACTTCTCTGAACTGGTAGTGTGTCACAACTCAAGTCAAGATTTTGTATATCGCTCGCGCGGTCATCTGCAGGAAATGCTTCCATAAGGTCGGGGAACGCAAAGACCTGACAAACTCTGTAACGAGTCCCTCCACCGCTTCCATTCGATCTGTTTCTCCAGTGATAGGGGTTCGTCCCATTCAATAGGCTGGTTTCCTGACGACAACGTATTTCTCAGAAAGTGTTTCCCCCCAATGATCACAGGGGCTGCGAATCCGAGAGGATCATACAAGCCGTTTATGACAGACAACAGCCCACGTCTGGTGAACGGTTTGGCTTCTGTTGACCCCTTGAAAGTGAATGCATCGTTTTGTATGTCCCAGCAAACACCTAGACTTCTCTGAACTGGTAGTGTGTCACAACTCAAGTCAAGATTTTGTATATCGCTCGCGCGGTCATCTGCAGGAAATGCTTCCATTACTGTAGCGCTGTTGGACACGATCTTGTGCAGCCGCAAGTTGGCCTCTGCCAACATTGACTGTGTTCTTTGCAACAAGTCTA